TTTGCTAGTTGCAGAAAACATTTTAACCTCAGATTGCTTTTGCAACATGCTGTTTGGGATACTGCAATGTGAATTATAAATCTTCAACATTTAAAATTTAGCATGAATATCAAGGGAAGAGCTCTTAACTTGATTTATATTAAACAAAAATAATATGTGTGAGGGACAAGTTAGGAGCAGAGCCTTAGCTAGTTAGAATTGTTAAGGCCAAGGCTCCCTGAGAATTCATATAGATGTGAAATCTACACCAACAGCAGCTTGTGATTTTATGTCCACATAGAAGGAGAAAAAAACCATGAGCTTGAATCAAACTATGTAGATAAGAAGTTAATCTCTTGAAAATCAGCTGAGCTACAGTAATTTGTTCTTGTTGAGTGTTTTCTTTTACACGAGTGTATTTGTAACAATTTGTAACAATTTTTCTTAATTTAAAATGATAAAACTGGCTTTAAATACACACTGAATCCTTAATGACGGTGGGACAAACAGGAAGAAAAGAGAATCTAGTGAATTAGATCATAAGGTTTAAAAAGAACAAGAAATGATTTTTTCTTTTGCTATTGCTCTATTGTTAGCAAGAATAGTGCAATCATTCTATTTGAATATTTTTTTTCCTTCACAAGAATGCTATGAAACTGCCTAGGAAGGAGTAAGACCTGAGCTCTATTTTCAGCTGCTAAGAAACATTAATAAGAAAAGTATAAAGAAACTACCACTGATCAAAGGAATCAACTATGTGGTCAAATACATGGCTAAATATAATAGAACAAAGATAATTAGACATTTGTTTGTCCATTTGCTATTTGAAATGACCCTTCCTCATACTAAAAATTCTCAAAAGGTATAAATGTATGGCTCATCAGCATCTCACAATTACAAAATTCAGGAAGTATAAAAATCTCTTGGGTTAAGAACAGGTGATGATGAAATGGCTGATGATTTAGAAGTTGTACAGTTTAAGACAATCAAATCTTACTCACCAAAACTTTTTTTCCATTCTTTTTTAACAGCTTGACAAATCCAAAATAACAAGTGAAGTCACTGGCTGTAACATATCACTGGTGGCCACCTGAAGTAGCACACAGGTTTAGAGCAGACCTACACGGTGCAGCCTTGGTTGCTGAGGAATGTCCCTGGCTCCGTTTAAATTTTTTAGTATGGATGTAGCCAGAAGATCTGTTGGTTGCAGGCAGGAGGTTGCCAAACTCCTCAGCCTTGAATGGCTCAAGACTTATAGAATGATCAAGCCAAAGAAAGAGGAGCGTAGGGCATAAACGCATAAAGTTTATGGGGATAATGACATTCTCTTAAGTAAAGCTTCTAAGGTGTCCATAAGGCTTCACAACATGTTAATTCCTTCACTGGATCTGTCCCTTTTGGTCCCATGTTAAACAAGTGGCTTGAAGAAAATGAAATAGTAAATTGCACCTTGCTCCCCAGAGAGACTGTTGCTATTGGATTTTTCCAATAGAAATAGCAATACGATTGCTCTCTAGGCTACTATGGTATATGTTTAATATATATTTTTATATATGTTCTTAATATATATTCTTACATATATTCTTAGCCTTTTCAAATGCAAATGAATAGATGTCTTTCTACATTTATTGTATGAAAAAAAAAGGATTCTATGTATGATATTTTAAATATGACTAACACAGTTTGCAAGACCAAAATAATATGCCTAGGGAAAAACCAACTTCCTCAAAACTTTTTAAATTGGTAAACTTTTTTTTCCTGGAAAGCTGCTGATTTTGGAAAACAGCATGACCTAAGTTATTTGAGAATACAGTATCCTTAAATTCACCTAAGAATAAAAAGGACTAATAATCTAAATTAATTGCAACTGGTTAAAATGTCAGTATGCAATAATAGAAGAAATAATTTTAAAAATGAGCATACAGTGTAAAGCAGCAAATTATGCAAGAGTAGCAATAAGCAGCATATTAAAGCAACAATAACAAAATGAAAAATAACAGAATGTCAAGCGATGCAACAAGTCTTCCTGATTAACTGGGCAGGTTGCTAACTGGATTGTTAATTAGTGCAAGCTCACATTTAGGCACTGATTCATGTAAGATTTTTCACAGCATTCTGCACTGCATAATCCTATTGAAGCTGTGAAAAGCAACAGGTGTTGACTCTTTGTATGGTTGGCATATTAATTAGACCTGAGGAAAAAAAAGTCTTTAAAAAACATAGCTGTTAAGTATTTCAGTCCAGAGAAACTCTAGCTATAGGGCAAAAGCATAATTTATTATTTTAAATTGGTAACGACTTGATTCAAAATCTTCATGGCAGCAGAAACTATTTTTTTTTAATTCTTCATAGATTTAAATCTTCTTTGAAATTTAGCAAGCCCCTTAGCATTTCCTTTGACCACTGTCGGACAGAGAATTACTAACATTTTAACAGAAATATTACTGTATGTCATAGAATATCTGAATTTCTGAGCTGCTCGGCAGGCAGTAGATGTTACTAGAGCAGACATTCCCCTGGTTCGTAGAAGCTTGCTATGAACTATCAGAACTGGAAGGAGCAGAAAAAAAGGATTGGATAAAAAAGATAGCTATTATTTTTTATTTAAGTTGGCCATAATGAGATTTGCTCTCATATAATACCGCAGCCTAATCACTGAGGCAAGGTCCCCAAGCACTGATGGCAGAAGGAAGGTATATTTGGCCTAATTTTACACACCATGGGATAAATGCTATAGAACTCAAAATACAAGAATTATAACTCTTAGTGGTTGTTGAGTCATAAAACCTCTGTTGGTGTCACCCATAGAGTAAGGATTTTTGCACATAAAAAATGGGTTTCTAAGCAGAACAGCCTTTAAAAATGAGATAAAAAAATGAAAGTACCAGGGACAGGAATACAGAAGTAGATGAACAGTATAAAACAATTAAAAGAGAAAGGAACAAGGAAGCAAAAAAGCATAGACCAGAATGCACGGTCAAAGAGTCAGGGAAAAGAGGAATAATTGTACAGAACAGGAAGTAATAGAGAAAGTGAGGAGATGAGAACAAGATAATGTCGCAGGCAGTGAAAGAAGGCACTGGCCATGAAAAACACTCTCTCTTTGAATCAATATAGAAATTAAAACTGTGCTTACCTGTAGAAGGTGGAAAATATTTGCCAGCTTTGTCCAGGACAAGAGAGCAGGAAAGAAGCTGAGATGAGGGGGAAGAGAAGGGAGCCTGACAGGGTGACCCTGCTGTCCCCAGGAGTAGGGGACAGGGCTCCTGGTTTCTGTGTCTGTGTTTTGTGTACATTTTCTGCCTGAAATGCACACACACATAAATGAAGGAGCAGGCAGATTTTCCTGCTAGGATTTTGAAAATTGGGAATTGGGCCAAAAAAAAGCATTAAAAGAGAGGAAAAAAAAAAGCCAGTGTTGATTTTCTTTGTCTTATGATGCTTGAGCTGTAGGATTTGGCAATGGTACTGAAGCAAGCCAAATAGTAGAGCATTTCTTAAAGCCTTTTGGTATCCATATAATTCATATTTCATTCACATATGTGTTGACATTCTGCATACTTCCTTTCTGCCTGACAGTGAACATATTAAGTTTAAGCGGCATTTCTACATGCTGTGAGTTAAGAAAGAAAATAAATATTGTTTCCCCAACTCTTTTCAGCAAGGTTCCCAACACAAAAAGCCTCACGTCTGGAACGCTGTACATTTAATAAAAGCTTAATCCTCTCTGTCAAAGCGCTTTAGAGGGAGACAAATAGAGATAATTTTTAAAAATTCCATGCGTGTTCGGCAGGCAGCTCGCTGGGTTTAAACAAAGGGAGGGAAGGTTGGGTGAGATCACCCTCCTTTTGCTCCACCCAGCCAAAGAAGGGGACCTGGGGCTATCGAGCTGCCACTTCCTACAGGTCTCCGGATGTGTTTAGGTGTCAGTTTGCTGCACTGGGGCTCGCCCAAGGGACGTGGAGCCACCCACCAGGTCAGACAGATGTCAGAAACCACCTATGGTGACCCTTCAGCTGGACCAATGCCTTGGCTGCTCAGAAAAATCAAGTAGCCAAGGCGGAGAGCTGTTACTCCAACATTACTATTCTAGATGAATAGCTCCTGATAAATAAGTTATTTTTTTTTCCAGAATTCGTTTGGGTCTCTGAGCCTGGCATGTTTCCAGACCATATACACTTAAACATTTGGTTTTGGCTGAAGTCACAGACCTGACTCAAAACCATGTGAACAAATTTGTTGTCTACATGGGACTTTGGAGAAAGCAGAGGACATAAATGTAAGGAATAATCTAGACCATGCAAATCTAGAATTTGTCCCCAGTTTTTATGAAGTTTCAGAATATCATCTAAGCCATTATTTAAACATCATGTTAATTGGTATCCCCTATCAGACGCTTTTTTGTTCCTGTAAACATAGCATATTTAAACCACAGCTTTTGCTTGCTAATACTTTTTAAACACAAGTTGTTGGTGCTGTCTCCTCTTAACAAAGAGAAGCAAAGATGAGAAAGTGAAAAGAGCAACAGTTCTAATTTAGGGAAACACTAAAAATATCATCAATTTAGCTGTGGCAATTTGGTTGTTAAACCTGGAATTAAGGGATATGTTTCACAAATTGTCCTCTGCTTGGGTCTTCCTTTCATGTAGCAAAAATGGAGATAAAATATTTTGCTCTCTCACAAGATAAACTCATCATTTGTGGGGACCTGAGATATCAATGTAACAAATGCTGTAGGCAAACCCATGAGAAACCACTATCTGTGGGCACAGCAGAAGCTTAGGAAGATTTGCAGCAGGCAAGGAGCAGCCGGGAGTTGAACAGGGCTGAACAACTGCCTTTTCTGTTAACTCTCACCCAGCCCATGCTGAAATGAGACAGGGATCCTGTGGAAAAAAATAATGAGCTGTCCTGTAATTATAGACTCCGGGCACATTTTTAAAGACACATCCACACAAGCAGGCAGAATTGAGGCCGTGCAAATACAAACTTGTTTCTTGCATTTTATAACACTCAAATACTTGTAGTGATGCTGCACTTGAGACTCTTTCCATGCCAGTTGGTCTGGGACTGGCATATATGCTCCTAAGGGGACTTCTCCATGAGTCTTCTCTGTAGTTATTTCATCTGAATCAACATAAACACACACACACACACGCACACTCATGCGCCTGCATACCCATTTTTCTTTTGGGAACGAATGTAGAGTAAGGGCTAATCCCTGAGAATGTGAATCTAGGCTCTCACACTACCTTTCCCCCCCTTTACCAAAGCATCGATTTTCCCAGTTGAGGTGGGTTATGCAACCAGATCACACATAGAGGAGGGTTTTGTTACCACTGTGGGAGGAGTAGCCAAGGGATCGGCAATTATGTGGATCCAAAACATAAACCTCTTAGGCAGG